AGTCTGTTAGAATAATTTATTTTTTTAATTTATTACTTGTAGGACAACCTTTTTATAAAGAAGCATGCTTTTAGATCTGCTCTTCATCCTCAAACATCTCTACAATTTTGTATACAGATTGAGCTCTTTTAGGATTAAATCTGGTTAGGTCAAAGTCAGTAGGTTAACGATTTATCCATTCTTTTATCCAGGAAACAACTTATTGAGCACCTGTTCTGTACCCAGGACCACGCTGGGTATGGGTGGTATAGCAGTGAACAAAACAGGCAAAAATCCTGGCGTTTACAAGGTAGTGGAGAAAGACAGGCAAGAAGCAAAATAAGTAAATGTATGTTAGACAATGACAGTGCTGTGGAAGAAAAACACAATGGAGACATGCAGGGCTGGGGTGAGGCAGAGAGTGAGTTGCGGTTTGGACTCTATAAAGAGCATATGCTATAGAGGATTGGAGGGGGCACAACTGAGGCTCTGAGGAGGGAGGGTGTTGACTGTTTTTGAGAAACTGCAAAGGGAAATAGTGTGGCGGGTGTAGTGTGTAGGGGGAGAGGAGGAGGAAAAAAGTAAAAGACAGAGCAAGGAGAGAAGGTCCAGATGAGTTAAGGGCTAATGAAACCATCGGCGTTTCATTCTGAATTAGCGGGGTCGCCAGTGGGGGTTTCCAGCAGAGGAGTAATCGGATGTATTATAGAAGGGTCACAGTGACTGCTGTGCTAAGAATAGATGATAGGGGAGCACCGGTGGGAGCAGGAGACCAGTTAAAGGAAACTATTCAAATAATTTAGGGCACAGATCATAGTATCTTGGGCCATAGTGGCAGAGGTGCCAGTGACAGTGGTGATGTAGTAGATTCTATAAATACTGATAGATACAGAGATATTGAAAGTAGAAATAATAAGACTTACAGACAGGTGAGATGATGTGTATGGGAAAGAAGAGACAAGAATAACTCAATGGTTTTGGCCCAGAGAATGGCAGATATTGAGTTGTTACAGACTGAAGTGGGGAAGGACGGTGGGCCCTGGGAAAGGTTGGGAGTTCTGTTTTAGATACCACAAAGTTTTAGATATCACATCACGTGATGTCTGCATTCAAGTGGACATTTCTTCTAGGAAGTAGGATATAGGCTGGGGCTCAGGAAAAAGGTTATGATGGGCATATAAACTTAGAAATTTAAGGGAACAAAACATTATTTTTCTACAGTAATCATTCTGGTAAATGTAGTTTCTTAGGAACTATTGAACAAACCTTTCTATATTATTGGAAAGTTGTGAGAACAATATAAGCAAGCTAGCCTGTTTTTAATAAATGTAATTAGCAAAATTTGAAATATATTGAACACTTATCTATTCATCGGTTCAATGAATTTTTAGGGACTGCTTCCTAAATACTGTGCAGTGAAAATAACAAGGCACAAAATATGTCCTCAAAACACCCTGGTCTGGTTGAGGGGATGGATGTTACTGGAGAGGTACTCTTGGTTGTAGAGGGAGTGAAATAATGTGGAAAGACCTGTAAGTCCTTGATCCTTTCCTTGGGCAGCTTACAGGCTGGTTGGAGAAACAGAAACACACAAGTTAAGTAGCTCTAAAAGGTGTAAATAGTCTGGCCAGTGTGCTCAATGGTTGTGCATCCACCCATGTACCAAGAGGTCGCGGGTTTAATTCCCGGTCAGGGCACATGCCCAGGTTGTGGGCCTGATCCCAGTGTGGGGCATGCAGGAGGCCGCCAATCGATGTTCTCTCTCATCAATTTTCTATCTCTCTCTCCCTTTCACTTCCTTTCTCTCTAAAATCAATAAAGGAATAAATAAATAAATAAAAGATACAAATAACCCTTTAAGACAGCAGAAAAGCAGTATCATGAGGCAGCATGCGAACACTTGCCAGAGGCAAATGTTTGCCTTAGGGGCTCAAAAGAGGATGAAATCTTTTCGGGCTGGGGAAGCAGGGACACCACTTTGGGTGGGATTCAAATTAGGGCCCGAAAAAAAGAGGCAGCGTATCTTGAGGGAATGTGATGGGGTTTTCCTTTAATTCTAAGAGGGGTGAGATACCTGATAAAGGTTTTAAGTAAGAGAGATGACAGGAGAAGATCTGAGTTTTGAAGACATCACTTCAGCAGATGGTTGAGGTGAATTCTGGCAGACATGGTAAGAGACTGTTTGTTGGAGATGTTCTTGCTATGAGGTTTGTTGTAAGGATGGGACATTCAGCTTGAGCTATCTAGCAGAGCATGATATGTAGGGCTAAATATTGGGTGAGAGAACTTGGTTGGAGATTTGGGGGTTGTTTGGGAGGCAACAGGGATAGTCCTAAAAGTGGATAAAATCTCAAAGAGAGAGAGAGAGTATGAAGAGAGAAAAAAGCAGAAGGCTAAGGACAAACCATCATATAAGTAACTACTTACTTTTAAGGAGCAGCAAAACCCAGAAAAGGGGCCAGAGAGACAGAAGAACAAGGGATCACAGGGCCTAAGAGGAAATAGGCATTAACGTGCAGAAAGAAGTATCTAGATTGGATAAGAATACCCTGCATTCTTACACAGTGTTAACTTTTCATAAAGCTTTTATTAAATGTAGACATTGGAAACATTATCAAACACTGATCACAAATCTGGCTCCTTGTTTCCCCAGGTGCTAAATGGAGGTGACAATAACTAGGTTATCCCTTGCAGAGCTTAGACCAAGAAAGTGCCTTAAAAATCGTCTAGTTTCTAACCACCTCATTTAATAAATGAGGCGAGTTAGGCCACTGGAGAAATGCACCTCTAAGGTCATAGAACTGTTCAGTAAACAGAACTGGGGCCAGACAAAGATCTTCTTGAGTTTTCATTTAGTCTTTTCTCTTTCTCACTTGAAGCCAAAATGACATTCTTTTATTCTAAGAGCACAGATTTAGTGAAAATAGAAAAATTAAATTTAAATCTTTACAGTTTTTTTAAATGAGGAATATTTCATCTTAGGTTGCCAACAGTCTACAGTAAAAAAAATATGTTGACGACTTATAATTCACATCTATTCGTGAGAATGCTCAGTTGTAATTAAGACCTCCTGATGCCACTCATAATTTTTCTACCATTCAAAGCAAAGGGCAAGTACAACTCTGAATGAATTTTTCTGTCATCATCCCACTTTGTTTTTTTGGGTTCCCATAGAGTCAGTGTTTTTCAAACTTTAGTGGAAATATCATTGTGTCATGACATCAGTTCAGTGAGTCACTCTCAGAAAGAGAAATAAAATAGATTAACATCATTGTGCATCACACATTTGTGAAATTTTCACTTCATTTATGTGCATGTGCTGGATTGCAGTATAAAATGTAAAAAGTGTGACTAACCAGCTTGGAAGATTATAGTATAAAACACACACCTGTATCTATATAGCTTTTTGAGGGTTGGGACTGTCTTCATCTTCATCTCATGCCCAACATACTACCTGGTGGGGACTCAAGAGATGCTGCTTGGAATTATTAAGAAAGAATTATAAGAATGAGCAAGTAGGTTGGGAAGGAAGTGAGTGCTTGAATTAAGTATAAACTTTTTAGCCTTCTTTACTTTGGGTGTTAATATTAATTTTTTTAACCTAGTATTTACCGCAACCAAGAACCTGTGTTTGTTTGGTATGTGCCTTCCAGTCACCTTCACTGTCCTGTGTGATGTGGTATAAATAACACTTCCTGCTAATGTTGCAGCTGTCATTCAGGGATCTTAAAATTGCTTTAGGAGTAGGATCTGGTGATGAGTGCCTGGCTCCACTTGGCAGGTGCCTGAGTTAGAACCAGTGACCGGCTGAAATCTCTGGGCTCCAGGCTGACGCCTCCCTCCCCTCCCACCCTCTCTTGCCCTCATCCCTTGTGGGGAGGAGCCTGTGACCAGGACTTTTTGTGAGCTTGTGTAACTGGTGAACAGAGTTTGCAAAGATTCCAGTGAACTAGAAATTTCACTCTTTATTTTGGGCTGGCTCTGGTGTATATGGGGGGAGGCTCATGGAAATAAAGGCTATTGATTTAAGCAGTTTGGGGGTCAAAAAGTCAGGGGGAGAAAACTGTGAAGGAACTGATTAGAGGGTTGGGATTGTCAAAGGAAATTAGGGACCCCTCTGCTAGTGCCCTCTAAGATTTGCACCTGACAGAAAGGGAATATGTGACATGTGCTCACCATTCTGTGCACACCTGTTCTTTTTTTTTTTTTTTTTAAATCCTCACACGAGGGTATTTTTCCATTCATCTTCAGATAGAGTGGGAAGGAGACCGAGAGCAAGAGAGAGAACAAGTGAGTGAGAGAGAGAGAGACAGAGAGAAAGAAACACGATGTGAAAGGGACACATGGATTGGCCACCTCTCTCACAACCCCACCAGAGCCTGATCAAACTGTGACCCTTTGGTCCGCAGGCTGGGGCTCTAACCTCTGAGCCAAACCGGCCAGGGTTACACGTGTTCTTGATTTCTTCCTTCTGGCCACAGTCTGTTGGGTTTTATTGTGCAAATCAGCCACCAGGAGCTTGAATACTGATTTGCCACACAAACACCCTCCGTTTCCTTCTCTTTTTGTAACCCCACCATCACCTTGAATTACTCCCATTCCCCATTTCCTGGAAGCTTCTAGGGGTCACCTCCCTCTCTTTTCCAAGAAACTGTTAACTGCCTGCTGCTGGGACTGGGAGGCTGGGGAGGGTGACAGCTTGGAGTCCTGGCTTGGAGTCAGGTTTCACCACTTGTCTGTCTGAGTTCACGAAGCATGTTCCTCTGTCAGGGATTCCGCAAATATCTCCCGGAGGTAAAAAAGGAAAGTGCGCGGCGCTCCAGCACCCAGAGCAGTGCGACCCGTCCCAAGTCCCCGAGAGAGCGCCAGCCAGCAGGGCCATGTCGCCGTAGCCTCGGCAGCACCCGCCCGCTTCATGCCGCGGTGCAGCCGCACCACGTTCCTGGGGTGAAGGGGTGCCTGGGCATGCTCCTCCCCATGGGTCGCCCACCATGTCTAATGGATATCGCACTCTGTCCCAGCACCTCAATGACCTGAAGAAGGAGAACTTCAGCCTCAAGCTGCGCATCTACTTCCTGGAGGAGCGTATGCAGCAGAAGTATGAGGCCAGCCGGGAGGACGTCTACAAGCGGGTGAGTGCGCGCGGCGCTGGGCCGCGCAGCGATGTTCCAGGCTCTTCCTGCGCGGTACGCTGACCGGCGAGGGAGGTGGGTTCCAGGCCTGGACTGCTCACCTTAACGCCATGTGACCTTGGACAAGCCATTCCACCTCTTTTGTGCCTGTTTGCTCCTCTCTGCCTCTAAAGAGAGGGAGCTGGACTGAATCAGAGGCTCTCACACTCCAGCGTGCGTGGGACTGTGCAGAACCATCGCCCTGGGAGCTGGTTAAAACAGATCCCCTGGATTCCGTGCCTCATCCCAGGGATTCGGATTCAGTCGCGGGAGGGAGAGCTGGGGAATTTGCATTTTAAAACAAGTCCAGAGGTGACTCTGAAGCTGGTAGTTCCCAGGTCTCCCGCACGCACGGATTGAGAAGGCCCCTCCGGTCAGCTCCTGGGAGGCCCCTGATGCTGTGGAGAAGAGGGCAGCGGCTGAGGGCATTTCTGTTCCTTCAGAAAGTCCTGCTTGGTTTTGAGATTGTTATGCAGATCGGTTTTAAAGACAGAGTGGTAGGCATTTTCAGTCTTAGAATAGGTAACCTTAGAATGAAGAAAAGGGTACTACTGATGGAGTAGCAGCTGGCCTGAGGGCGGGGGAGGGGAAAGGGCGACTTCCCTGATTGACAGCTGAGTGATTGGGGTGGGAATTGGCCGAGTTGAGGGCAAGATGAGACAGCACCTTCGTAAGAGGACATCAGGCTGTGGGTTGCAAAGATTAAGCGTCCTAACTGGTTTCCACAGCCCTCTTAGTGTTTGGGCAAACACTAAAGTGGCTTGAGTGACCTGGAGCTGGTCACCTGGGACTTTGATCAGAGATCCTAAATCTCCAGCTGTTATGCAGAAGACTGCAAACAAGATCACTGTGTGCGCTCAGGGAGCCTTGCAGGCTGCTACATACGACCTTGACGAGAGGAGTATCTGGTGGCTGTGATACCCAAATGATTATTTAGTAAATCAGCTAATGTGGACAGTTGAATTGGGAGAATTTAGCCCTGTTTTCTGTCTTTCTTGAACTTTCATGTTTTAATCTGAATTTTTCTGAAACTGGTCTAGATTCGCCTTTCATCCTTTCTGTGGCTAAAGAGTGATGTGCCCCAGTGGAGCTGCCAGGGGTGGGGGAGGGTATTGCCAAGTGAGGGTGGGTCACTCAGAGAGACTTGGAGAGGGGGAAGATAAATGGCAGTATTTGCCTCAGGGCAGAAACAGTGAATGAATTTGTTCACTGCAGAGGGAGGAGCATTTTTCCATTAACTGTTCCCAAAGCAAGGCAGAAGGAAGAGTAACTTCTTAGATCATTTGAGGGAGAGGTTTTTTGTTGGTTTTTTTTTTAAGCTTGAATCAACTGACTGCTTGAATCGTTTGGTCTCACCCTCCACTCCACACTAAGTGGACAGCCTCCAGTGAGCACTGTGGGTGCTCAGTGCTTAGCCACCCCCCCCCCACTCCCCCTTCTTCCTGGAGCTGGTCCTGGAGCTGCTGAGGGGGTGGGGTGGAAGGGCGTGGTCACAGCACATTCTCTGGTGCAGAGGTGACAACCATTTTGTTAGACCATTCAGGAAGCAGACATGGCCCTGTCTCTTCCTGATGTTAAGTACAGAGCAGTCAGGCAGCTACTGGACCACATGATTGGAGGGATCTCAAACTCCTATGTCCCGGTATTTCCCTTCTCACCAAATCTTCATTCTTCCCACCTGTCACATACTCATCCCATTTGTCTGTGACTTGGGAAACACTAAAGGCTTAAGTTAAAACGCTCCTATTTAGGAAACTGAACACAGAAAGCTGTTACTAGTCATTAACATCATAATTGAAATTAGTTTCTCACACTACATAGTGAGGGATTGATAGAAACCAGGGCAGTTTGTTTGGATGGAAGGATGAGGGGTTAGAAAACCAGCACATCGGGAGGCCTGGACAGCCAGGGGACCTAGTGAAGTAAGTCACCCTCTGGGCTCGTTCGCCGGCAGAACTGGCCTGAGGCGCAGTGCACACCACCATTGGCTCTGAGAGTTATTTGTGGAGAATACGAGTAAACAGCAGCCATAAAGATTAAATGAGAAGCCCTGGCCGGTTTCCCTCAGCGGTTAGAGCATCAGCCTGCGGTCCAGAGAGACCCGGGTTCGTTTCCGCTATGGGAATGTACCTCGGTTGAAGTTTGTCCCCGGCCCTGGTTGGGTCATGCGGGTGGCAGCCACTCGATGTGTCCCTTTCATGTCGATGTTTCTCTCTCTCTCTTCCTCTCTCTCCCTCCCACTCTATCTGAACAAAAAACAAATGTCCTCGGGTGAGGATAAAAAAAAAAAAAAAAGATTAAATGAGAAGACATATTAAGCCACTTTGTTTAACTTCACAGCTTCATACATATGCCAAGGAGCAGTAGTTACATGTCTACTAGTAGTAATAGTTATTATTATATTTAAAAATGAGAAAGAGGTTTGGCTCTTTTTAAAAATATGTTTTTATTGATTTTTTAGAGAGAGAGAGAAACATTGATGTGAAAGAGAAGAAACATAGATTGGCTGCCTCCTGCACTCCCCTTACTGGGGATTGAGTCCTCAACCTGGGCATGTGCCTGACTGGGAATCGAACCAGGACCTCTCAGTCAATGGGATGGTACTGAGCCACACCTGCCGGGCATAGGTTTGGCTCTTAATCTCACCCTCAGATATTCCCATGAATTGGTTGTTAGGAAGGGGAGACCCCCACCCCACCCCACTTCTTTAATTCTTACAGCTGGACTAATAATAAAATTGACACAAAATTAGATTAACAGGAAAAAAAACAATTTTATACATGTGTATGAGAGAATCACGATATGATGCTCAGGTAATAAAAGGAGGCTCAAAGAAATTACGAAACCAGGCACCTTTTCATACTTTTTAGACAAAGGAAAGGTACAACTGTGAGAAATTTACAGGTCAAAGAAAGTTGGTACTTATTACAAGGAATGTAAGCAAGGCTTTGGGTATTCACTAATGAGAAATTGAAACAAAGTAGTACATTAGAAAAGAGACAACAAGATTTGTTTATGCAGACTTTTCAGCTCTGAGTTGTTGAACTCTGGTGATAAGGGGTGTCTTCAGGTCCTGGGAGGACACCTTTCACATGGGAGATTTATTTTCTGCATTCATTGAGACAAGGGAGGGTTAAGGTGTCTTTCTAGTACCAGCTGTTTGTCAGGTAATTTTAATTCAAAGTAAGTAATCAATATGCCATTACGGGATATCTTCGGGTGACCTGTCTTGGGCCCCAGTGGTGTCTTATGTTCATCCTTGTTAGTCACAAAATGATTGCACAAGATTAGGTGGATTAAATAGCAGCCATGTTGGCAAGGAGACATCAGGAGTGACATGTATTGCGTCATCACATGGTAAGTCAGGTGATTCGGCTGGAATTCAGAGTCCTGTTTTGTGACCAAACTTAGCTTGGTTTTTCTTTAGTGTTGGAAGGATACTTCTTCAAAGAGAGTAAAAACATTAAATCATACCCAACTTAGTTAGAATCTGCAATCATTTGGATGCTGTATGCATGAAATTTCTTAAATAAAACCAGTGTTTGTGAAACATGTAAGTCTGTTGTGAATAGTAATTATTTGATCATTTTACATATTTCTGCTACTTCGATTTTGTTGAGATATTTGTTCTTAGGAGTAAAATTACAGCCTTAAGGCGAGACAGTCAAGCTTTTTACTGTGATGACAGTAAGGAAGGAAACATGGGAAACTTTGGGAGAAAAGGACTGGAGAGAGGTTCTGCCTTTCCAAGCGGCATGGCATCCTGTGTGGTTGCTTAAGGGAGAAACTACAGCGGATAAAATTTGTAAAGATTTTAATTAAATGTAAGAGAAGTTGTAAGAGTTAGAGAGTTATGTAAAAACCTAGAAATATCAACTTTGAAGCAAATAAATAAAAAAGGAGTTAAAGGTTTCTCTCTTTCAAGCTGTTCAGAAAATTCGAAAATAATCTTAAAACGCATGCTAACCATGGACTAATAAAATAGTATTAAATTATACATAGAAATTGATTCTGTGAGAATTGGCTACTTTTATGTTGAGTGTTTAAACAATCCTTTACGCTTCAATATTTGTAAGTAATTAAAAACCAACACAGAAAGAGTCTGCATACCCTCAGCACAGAAAACCTGGGGTATTTACCTACTTGATTACGTACCACTGCCCCCTCTTGGTAGCAAATAGTAATTGCAGGTTGAGTTTTTTGGGAAGACCGTTTTGAGTGTGTAAAGCCAGAAAAGGAGAAACCATTGCAGTAGCGTCAGCTCCTGATTCTGGAGCAGAGTAAAGTGAGAAAACGCTGTGAGTGGTCCACAGCTGAGTATGGCCCACTCCTACGAAACGTGGCTTGTTTGCATTTCTGGACTGCAGCTGCTCTGGCAAATAATTTCTGGGTGGCAACTTGTTGATTTCCTCGTCGTCGTTGATTATCTTATCCTGCGTCGTCTCATTATAGCTGAGTGTGCTGCCACTCGAAGTATGTTCTGCCCTGGAATTTATGCAATCCGCTGCTGTGTGGTAAACACGTAGTCCCCAAACAGCACACAAAAACACTTCCACTGGGTTTTGCCTTATGTTGACTACTTTTCAAACCTCTGTGAACTTATTATTAAGGTGGTTTAAAAAAGAATTAAGAATGGAATTTAAAATCTGACAGAGCCAGGAACAGTAACAGAAATATCAGGAGAAGCTGAAGGTTGTCATCCTGGGCCAGATAGAGTCAGTGTTTAAATCTGACTTAATTGACGTTAGGAGGTTAACGAGGATTTGGCCTATAGTGGGAGTTACCAGGGTTGTGTTTTCTTGTTCTTTGGCCGGTAAACACCTGACTTCTCTGAGCTGTCGTTTCTCATCTTTGAAATCAAATGGTATTTTTTCCTGAGCAAACTTTGAAGTTTATACATAGCATATTTATGAAGCTAGGGTTTTTAAATCGTGATACACAGACTACTGACTTTACTACTA